TCACTATAATTTTAGCTTTTTAATAGTAATAGGAATCTATAATAACAAATTCAATATGCTAGCATTGTTTAAGTGTATCGCCTATACATCCTTAAATTAAATTAAGAATGGCGGTTTTTCAGTTGCACTGAAGAATACATTTTTCTTAAACCTTTTTTCCAAGTGTATGTAAAATGAATGTAGGTGGTATGCGTTACGATCATCTCCGATACGGGAATAAAAGGTATAGGGGTGAGAAGGGGATGCTGAAATTCGGTAGCTGGAGACACTTGTCAACGGCAGGCAGGGGGTCGGTTTCAGGGGTAGATCTAGGCGACGTAAATATTGTAACAAGTGTGCCGTCGTTGCCGCGCGTGACATTGATGTGTTTGGTTAATCGATTCTCTCGTTGAAAAATTTTATTTTTCATTACGACGAAACATTTTCATGGTTTCGTAGATAATAGATGTGATAATGGGATGGGTGATCAATGGTCAAAGACATGGTAAGGGAATCATCACGTGAAATTATTCGTTTCAAGGAATTTTATTGATAGTATGTTAACAATATTTTAACTATTGCAATTATTGATCAGCTGTCTTGTACACTCGCGGGCAATCGAAATTCGATCAGTAGAAACTACGGCCAAGTGGCCGTTCTTCATCGTTTCTGTTGATTTTCTCAATTCGTCGATACACGGCTGTCGTTTCCACACTCTCGCCATTTCGTTGCGCAAACATCGTCCATTGTGAACGCAGTGGATGACACTTCTGCCAGGCGCATTTGCCGTACGCAGAAAAGAGCCTCGTTCGAGTGGAATCCTTCCCACCGGCTCGCAAATTTTGATAAACGAAATATCACTGTCTCAATCGTTCAACAGAGTACTTCATGACAATCTGAAATAAGAAATTCATGATAAATCCACTCTTGAATTTTGAAGATTTAATGACATCAATTTAAGAAAGAAAATCTTAATTCTTTCACCATGCGCATTACATCCATTCGCTATGTCTCGTTGATATCAAATTCTTCTAGGAATTCGTAAAATCTAGTTACGTATTCGATCAAATAACAACTGTGTATAGCGCATGCAAATCGAGGCAGAAAACGCAAACTGTGCGTGTTCGGTAACCCGTAAACGCGACACAAATCATCCCCTAAAGCTCATCGAGGTAATGCGCGTATTCGTCGAATCGTCACGGCTATCGACGAAATAGCATCGCTCCTCCATGAATATGTAAATTAATTTGTCGGATTAGCGAGGATGAGGTCCTCGGCGTTGCACTTAAACCCGCGAAATTGCGCAAGCTGGTGCAACGACGCGACGAGGCGCGCACTGGTCCGTCTAAAGATATGCACCCCTGCGCTCTCGCTATGAAATAATCATATGGTTAGCTAATGGTAGCCGGGGGTAGCGATTGCTCGAGCTGCTGCGGCCTCCATAAGGCGTTCTAGGCAGAATAATAAATAAATTCAATGTATTTGGTCGGACCCCCGCAAACATTCAATGATAGATCGGAATCTTGGAGGGCGAGCGATGATGCATGAGTAGTTGGGCCCTGGCTATGGCCAGACGTGCGTGAAAATCGGACCATCCGATCTTCCTTACGTGACTGGTGCGCGATTCCAACTGGACGACTGGCGATGAATTTTAATTCCGAAGAAAATGAAATTTATTCGGTGTACAAATTAATTTCCAGCACTTTTTGTTCATTTCAAGCTATCATCTGTATACCTAATCGTTTCGTCTGTGCTAAAGAACAATGCACGTGGTTGTTGAATTGAAAATTGCAAGAAACACTAGTATCGATGGATCATTTTATTTGTCGGTTTTATTGACTTTGCGGGATCCAGGGTGGAACGAATCGTAGGCGGATCAACTCGTCCGAGCAGAATTATTACATCCTGTAACAAGGACACACGGGGTTCCCCTTCGCTAGGCTATCATTCATGTTATTATGGGTTAAGGGGGTGTAGCCACGATTCTAATCCACGCGCGCATCCCGCTGCATTTTATTAACGTATTTACCGAATCCCTCGGAACACTTGCCGAAAGTATCGGTATTATCGGTTGTTCGTTCCGATCATCACGAAGCGACGAAGCTTTAAGTCTTTGCTTTTGTAGTACCGATGAATTATGCAACGAATCATTGTCCCCTCGTTCTATTTCATCAGGACTACGATATTTTTTGTTCCGCGTAATCCTTGGTTTACTTGGTCACAAAATTCGTTTTGAAATTCGTTGTTATAAAAACACGTACTACTCGTGGAGCTTCGCACATGCACGCGCAGTATTCTAATCGGTCTTCGCGGGCTCTATTCTTAGCCGCCTCATTGAGCGACGGTTTAAACAGACGCGCTTTCAATCGTTCGTAATTAATAGCTCGTCCCAGCTCGTGACATATCAATCGGGTGGCAGGGTCGCGCTATTATCAAGTCCCGTGTAAGGGTTGCTCTTTCTCCCGGAAGCGTGCGCGTCGAGTTCAGTGGCGTCGGATTAGCTTCCAGCTAGTTATGATTAGAGGAGACAGTTGGCCCCTGGCCGGACTACTTCATATTCCAATACTCATCGTCGCGGGGCCCTGTGTGCGAAACGGGGGGGCCGCCGTCGGGGCGATAATACGCACTGACAGCCGCGCACCCTCTCCAGAGCGAAAGAGAGAGAGAGAGAGAGAGAGCGGGGTCACTTTGTGTAGGGAAGGGTGCCGTAGGAGAAAAGAAAAACATATACGGCAACCCGATAGAATGAGCATCGCATGCGCCGACGCTTGTACCCTTCGCCCATCCCGGGCTTCCAGAATTACCCACTGATGTTATAATCCTCTCGTGTTACGCCGTCGCACATGCTGTCCTGTAAGCAATACATTGTTTTCCTTCGCTTTTTCAACGTAACATCCCTCTCCCCGTGACTATCCATATGCACACTTGGCAGCCGGGTACGAGAGCCACGGTGTCCTCTGTAACACCGATCGCTCTCTCAGACAGCTCTTTGTCCGGTCGAGAGACAGGCGGAATTGACGAACGATTGACGCGTCCGATGCGACGAACATCGCGTTGCCAAGTGGCAGTGACAGTTGGACTGTAACTTTTGTTTTAGAATCGTCAACTAGGGTGCAGAGTTTCTAAAGGGTTCACTTGCATGAGAGTGATATCGTATTGCATGAAATAGTGTCAAACGATTTGATCGAAATTCTACGTACACATAATAGAAATATGTTGTATCAAATATGAATTACGAATAGATTTGGTATAATTGCAGTTGTCTGATGAATCCGTGTGCTTTGTATAATTTCAGGTACCTGGTAGCTGGCGGTATGGTAGATCGAGTCTTTCGACACAGCCACGCTCTCATTGAAACCGACTTCTTCCTAGATCAAGATCATGAATCACCAGTTCTATCTTCCGCGTACGATCTCCTTTACCGTATCTGTTGTCACTTGAAAAAGTCCACCGATCAAGAGTCCGCTGTCCACGAGAGTAATAACAATGTGGAACAAACGAACGTGGAGTCGCACCTCCTGTCGACGTTGTCCTCGACTGAAGCCGCGGGCGCGATAGGTGCACTTTACGCTGCAGTCGCGTTACCGCCAACGTCACAGAATCAGAAGGGGTCCTCGCCCACTCCTAATCAGACGGTCTCGCAGTCTACGAGGATTCTGATCGTTCGCAGCCTCAGGCTGCTTAAATCAATCGCTGGGTTGAATCTTCAGAAATTACAGGTAAGACGTTTTTATTAATTAGATTGCAGATTTTTATGCTGAATAAGACATCGATGGTAGTCGGTTAAAAGATGAATTTTAATCAGAGAATTAACTATTCCAGCTTTCGATATTTTGCATACTTTTGTATTCTGTTTTACATTAACTTTTACAAATGATTCTAAATCTAAATTGTCTTATGGATATTCAATGCCGAATGTTAGGGTTCGATGCCTGGAATCCTAAAATAATTTTGCAAATAATAAAGTGGTCGGGATCTTATCTAAATTATTGGGTTGATCACCATAGAATGCGCAATAGAAATATATCGTGTATCACAGGGGTCTGTCGAGGTAGAAAAGCCCTCCCGTGAAGTCTGCAGTGATCAAACCACGAATTGAATTGAACGCTCGCGCCCCCGTCCACAAAAACCATAAGGGCTATCCCGTGTCCCGCAGGAGTGCCCGCTGAGTCTCATGGGGCACCGCCTCGATTATCCTTGCGGTGCCCGTACTCGCCGTTTGCGAAGAACCAACGTTTATTATCCATTCTCTTTGACTTTCTGCCAGACCAGTCGTCTGCTCTGTTCTTTAGCACTCCGCCGCGCTGTGTACAGATTTCTGGTTTAGCATTGTTGAGTAAGGGCGATCATTTAAGAACTATTATCATATTTCTGGATTTACGTGAATCAATATGTAAATTCGATATTTCAATCGTGAGATTATTCCCGGGTTAATTCTTATTCATTTCATTATCTTGCAAATAAATAACGTAATGAATCCAAATATATGTGTATTATTGTTTTCATCTACTTGAAAATCGAATACTTTGATTTCAGAATCTGCTGGGCGCAGAGGGTACCAGCTTGCAATGGCGGCTGATAGCTAGTCATGTGATAACCCGATTATCACGAGATCCAATATCGCACAAACCGGAAATTGGATCTGCGCAGAACACTAGCGGTACTTACATCCTGTCGGAGTTGTTCCAAGTTCTCGGATACTTTGCTGTGAACAATCCGGAGAATCAGGTAAATGCATTATTCACATCTTTCAATCTTCTATTCACTTGTATCGTAACTGCAATTTCTTTATATGAAAATCTACCATCGGTGTTAGAAATTTATCGAAATGAATCGTAGAAGTGCATTTTATGTTGAAGACAGTCATAGGAACTTTCAGTTCATTAATTCAACTATCTATAAAATTTCTTCAAAATTATTTTTGAAATCATTCTCGACTACTCCGCGGTGAAGCAACGATCGATAAGGTGTATAAATCGATTAAACGGGGATTCGGCTCACAATTCTCACTGACGGGTTAAAGGTTAAAAGCGTTTTTCCGCCGGTTTCCCCGTATCGGATGCACTTTCGGGCGGGCCACCTTAAAAAACCCGGTCGAAAGACGAATGCGCTCTGTCGTCGGTGCACTCAACGCGATGCAACGCGCCCGGATTGATGCACCCTACGCGGCTGCACGCGGCCCTGACGTATGGAATGGAACCGAGTAAATATATCTTAACTGCATTCGGCCGTATATTGATGGGAGGTCCGCTGAGTGTGTTGTGTCTAACAGCATCTTCCTTCTTCGCTCCAAGTTGCGCGCCGCATCTCACGCGAGTATACCGGGTGAACTGATAGAACGGCAGCGGCGTCTTGTATTTTCGCGAATTCAATTTGCCTTCTCGTACTATCCCTTACCTAAAAGTTTTTAAACGAGGCAGTAATGGTAGATATTGGTACTTCGTGTTTGATCAGAAATTTTTTGCCAAGGGTAGTATTTGAAAAAATGATAAACGTTCAGTATTTAGATGTGTTCCAAGACAAGAGATCAAGAGTTTCTAATGGCTCGGATTAGTTTCGAATAATCCAACGCGTCGATCGATAAATCGCGACTCTGAAATTTATTGAGAGTAGCAGATTTGTTGTCTCGGTCAAGTTTATACCACGTAAACAGTACTTATTTTATTTTCTTCGTCGAATGGTATATTCGTTTGCGAGGTTCGATGTAATATATAGATTCGAGAAAACGTGAATCGATTTTATTATTCGAAAGTCTTTTTTCAATTAATCTTTCACCGTTCTCCAGATTTAAAATGTTTTGTGATTCGTGTTTATTGTTTTTAACATAATGCTCATTAAATTTCCAAAAAACGAGAACTCTGATTTTTATCGTTATCATTCATGTGTTGTCAAATAAATAGAACACTGTCACTGGATTCCTCGTGAATATTCTCGCGACTCGTCCGATTTATTTCTGCCCGATTCAACAGCTTTGTTGCTACGTTCGTGGACATACGACAAACATGCATATTTAACTCCCGGACCTATTTAGAACAGCCTTGTCAGTAGACAATCATTCAAACAGTTAGGACCAAATCTGCACCTTCGAGTCTCCACGTAATTTATTTACAGCACCTTTTCTTTGAATCCCGTTACGGTAAGCATATAAACGTGTCGTCGCGCGATTATACTTTTAAAACAAAAATTGTTGTTTTTTAATTGCGCGAGCTGAACCCCTGTCAACTAGTTCAGTTATTTGCATATGAATGAGCTTTTTCAGAAAAGCAAACACGCCGGCCACGTGCGACGGTTTCAATTGAAAAAGTTCCGCGCAAATGACGAAAGGAGGTGCAATGCGATTAACTAAAGCTCATTAACAATGAGATTCATTAAAATAATTAAAATATCCGTTTATTACAATTGTGACGATATGAAAAACGCGTGGTTACATATTTTTCGTTCGTAAAAATATTTTCTTTAAAAATAACGATTGTTATTATAAATTTGATCGAGTTTTGATAAAATGGAATCTGGTCTCCGTTTTTCCTGTGAACTCGCCGAGATATTCCCGGTGACGAGTACGCACATGAAAATATCCGACGGTCTGGCGCCTTCGGAGAATGTCGCGACGTCCTTCCTTTCTGCGCGACTATCAAGCCTCATTTTTCGAGATATCGGACCCTTAGGTGGCATTCGATATCGAAAAGAAGCCTGAGATTAGCTCCGGTACATATGTATTATAATACTCTTCCAGCGCTTCGATGTCAGATTGCCCATCGTTAGCCTAATTGTTCTGCTTTCTGCCCTCCTCTTCGAGATACCGGCGAAGAATGTGCTGATAGGGTTCGGAGAAAGAATTTCGAATAGATAATTACGGGCTGAATTTTTGTCTGTCCTTACAATTTAGTCACTTCCTTAAATATTTTAATGGAATTTACAAAACTGTCAGGGCGGTAGGTTATTTTGCTCGACTGCACATGTTTCGTACTAAATCATCCCGATTCCCAGTCACCTGCTCAGTTTCCTTATTTGAATATTTCGCAAGACGTTGTTTTGCAAGTCTTAGACCGGATTCACCCGATCAAACCGCAACCGAGTTTCTTTACGCTTGACGAATCGTTTATGCATCACCGAAAGGCCCGACAAGCAATGAGGGTAGCACTGGCTGTGTAGGTAGAGAAATAAGAATTCGTGATGTGGGTACTTCCTGCCGGAGGCTTTTCCACAGGTGCAGAAACGTACTCCGTAGACACTTGTTGAACCGCAGATGTACATTTTCTTGTCCTATGAATTTGTCACGTTCCGCCACCTGGATTATAGCTATATTTTCCCACGTTCTTAAAGGAAATTAATGAGCCATTTGTCTACCTACCTACCTGTACCAATTAATTCTTTTTGCTCAGTCTAATGACAGCGAACGTGTCGGTCAGACATTTTATGTGGGTACTTTGCAAATTAAAGTAAGAATCTCGCAATAAATAATTTAACCATTGACGATTTTCATACGCAATATACAAGAAAAAACAATATTTTATTCTATATGAGATATCTTTTTAAATATCTAAACTCTAAAATGTTACAAAATCCAGTGCAAACGGTTTACGATATTAAAGTTCATTTATCATTTCTTCTGAGGTGGAACAAATGATTTATCTCGGCGTAAAATCTGTAAAGAACTGAGCACCGAGGAGATGTGTATGTGGCAAAGTTAAAACTTATATGAGAATTAAATGTGTGTTCTATTCAAATCGGTTCCAGTTGGTGCTGCAGTCAGCCGGGGCTGGTCCGAGCGTACTTCAGCAACTCTGTACTCTGCCGTTCCCGTTCTACGGTGCGCCGGGATTAACGTCGTACATTTTTCCAACGCTTTTGGCGGCCACTCATCAGAATCCGGAGGCAACGGCGATCCTGTCCTGCGAGCTATCTTACCAGGTCAGTCCACTATTTTACGAATCCCAATTTCCGTTCAATAATCATTCCCATGTTTTATACAATTTTTTTTTAATATGCATTTCATTACGCTTTAATTACGAAAACTGGAAATAATGCAACGGTAAAAATCCAGTGCAAACGGTTTACGATATTAAAGTTCATTTATCATTTCTTCTGAGGTGGAACAAATGATTTATCTCGGCGGAAAATCTGTACAGAACTGAGCACCGATGAGATGTGTACTGAGTTAACGTGGCAAAGTTCACATATTTAATTCTCATATAAGTTTTGTGTTCTATTCAAATCGGTTCCAGTTGGTGCTGCAGTCAGCCGGGGCTGGTCCGAGCGTACTTCAGCAACTCTGTACTCTGCCGTTCCCGTTCTACGGTGCGCCGGGATTAACGTCGTACATTTTTCCAACGCTTTTGGCGGCCACTCATCAGAATCCGGAGGCAACGGCGATCCTGTCCTGCGAGCTATCTTACCAGGTCAGTCCACTATTTTACGAATCCCAATTTCCGTTCAATAATCATTCCCATGTTTTATACAATTTTTTTTTAATATGCATTTCATTACGCTTTAATTACGAAAACTGGAAATAATGCAACGGTACTCTTAATACCTGCATAATTAAAAAATGAATCTTATTCGCGGCAAATAATATAAGATAAAATTCCGCACTATCTGCTAATGAATTTTCAATATTTTCATGTGCTTTTTAAAATCATATTAATTAATGTAATTACATTCTCGGAGGCATAATAATCCTATCGATCCTCGATATTTGTTAATTTTCCTGGTGTGTCATTAACTCTCTCGTTCGGTGAGTAAAATGGGAAATAACATAGATATTTCACAGCTCCTGGAGGAGTACAGAAACTCGGACGATGGTAAGCTGAATCCGTTGGTTCGTTTGCTGAAGGACTCGACTGGTCCGTAGCCTTAAGGGTTCGATTAGCTCGTTTAAGTTTCTTCGTTACACGCGATCGTCCTCGTAGATGTTCGTTACCTACAGGATCGTTATTTCTATTTAGTTGGTACGGGCCCGGGTAATAGTCGGTGGAAAATTGTTATTAGGTACGTCCATCGTTGATTTTATTTCCCTTGTGTCTCGAGGCTGGCACTCGACGATCGTTTGATAGTCAAATTTAAATGAATTAGACAAGATTGAAGAGAAAATGACAAATAAATATATACAATATGTATTTCCCTTAATAGGGAATCGATCGAAGGGTTTTTGCAGAAAGTAAGGATTAGATATATAGGATCCTCTCTTTTATTTTAAGTGTTGAATGTTCGCTAACGATGTTCACGTTTCTCGGTTGGGTTTCTGCACTTTCTTTAATTCTATGCTTATACTTAATTAAACCACTTTTTTTGAGATCTTTTTAGTGAATTTCTCCTTCCTCTCGGTTAACTCCTATTTCAGCTTTACGTTATTCTTCTATTTGTTTTTATGTTTATTTGTACTTATGGTGACTTTGTGGATTTACACGCGTTGAACTCACTTCGGAGGTTTTTCGATCAGCTTAACTTCCAATTCTTGTTTCTGATTAGTATGATGAGTTTTACGTACATCGGGTAGCAAATTGTTTTATTCATTTCGGTTCTCTACGAATAATTCAATTTTTCTAGTCATCCAGGAATGACTCTAGTCTTAGAGGATCGCTTGAAAAATACGAGATCTGTGTTTAGCTGCTTACGTTCTTATAAATGCGATTTTTTAGTAAATCGCAGGGATGAGATCAGTTTTATTTTTATTGTGTCTTTAAATAACAAAATTTTAAGCGAGAAAAAGAGAATTGTAATGCGAGTCTATTTCAATGCAGCTACGATGACTGGAAACAATCTATTTTAATCGAAAGTAGATTTCTGTGATAGCAAATGGGATAAATGTAGATATAATGGAAAGATAAAAATTGACTGAGCTTCCGGTTATTTTTGTTTTAATAACTTTCTCTAACGAATAGGAAGATATTAGACTGTTTCTGTACAAAAACTCTTCGGTTCTGTTTAAATCTCTTGATGGACGCACGTAAGGAAACAATTTTCGCGCATGATTCAGAGACGTCGAGTACTACTACCAGTCGTTTGGTAGTTGACATTAGCCGTACAATTAAGAGCGAGGGCTGCTCGCTATCTCCGCGTGTAATCATTCGCTACCTTGCCGAAGATGCAAAACTTGACAAGTCCGTTTCGCTTAATGAAACGTGCACTTTGCTCGTAAAAAACGAACTTCCGCTCGGAGTGATCTCATTAAAATGGATTGCAAAGTAAACAACATCTTCGCTGAAACATTAAACGTTTGATGTAATCATCTGTGAAAATAAAAAAATTGCATATTTAAGATCGCGAATAAATGGAAGTTCCTCAAAAATCGGCGTAACGTTTCATGAAACGGACTTGCTCGTTTTTGAATCTAGTCGGATCGGCAGTTCGCAGAGCTTTACGACTTTTCACAATCACGTTTGTACGTTTAGTAGATTCCTTCTCGTTCTACGCGTGCCAATATGTATGTATAATGTATAACTCGTGCAAACGGACGTGTCTTTCGAACCGGCCTTTCTAGCCGTTGTGCAATGATCGAGTTGTGACTCTATTTAGATACTATTTAGTATACTTCAGTGCGTGTATGTGTGGAACCACGTGAACCGAGACAACGGACTTTGTAAGTATGTAAAATGCGTGAGATACGGAAAAATGTAATGTATGAGACAAACCAAAAGTTAAGTTCGACATTCGGTCTTTTCATTCTTCCAACCGAATTAATGTTCTTTCTTTTTCAAATTTGATGCAATTTACATTGTGAAGATTGAGAAGTTATTATACTTGAATGATCTTTCTTCATAGTTCGTTGAAAGTTTTCCATAAGTGGTGTCAGCGTTCCTCAGTTTTATAATCAATTGAGAATCTCTGATTTATAAAGTCTCTTGTATCTTAGTTATTTACTGGCAATTATTTGTTTTGCTGCAGTTACGCGCGGTATATAATTAATCAAGGTGGATTAATAAAAGGATTAACTACGACGAAGTATAGTTTAATTGAAATTTGGCAACGCGTTCAGTACCACAATCAACTGTTTTTCTTTTTTTTTTTTTTATTTATGACTTTCACTAGTTTTTGTTTGTTTCATCTTTACATATTTTACTGAGAATTATTATATTTATTTTCAATTATAATTTACATACTTAATATATTGTTAATTTGTAATATAAGTAATTTTGCATACGTTATATTATTTGCAAACAGCAAACGTTTTCGTATATTTTTATTTTTATTCTACACTTTAGCTTACTTGAAACGGAGAAACAAGTTCTTATCGATACAGTGCAGAAAGCCTGAGTCGCAGAGGTAAGAGATTGAAACTTGTTGTTCGTAAATGATCTTATAAGTTACTTTATAAGTATTGAGGCCCTGAACGAGTTGGTAGAAAAGTATTTATCAAAATCCTCGTAGAGAGGAAATATCCTTCGTATAAAGATATTTATTTGATAATGATGTGGATTTATCGTGGTGCAATGTGTATGATCATATTTATTTCCGACCGGAGGATCACGTATGCGAATGCATACATTATTATAGTTAAAGTGGTACAGGTTTTCGTGGCTGCAGCGAACGCACTCGTGCAATGTCCTGCCAATGCAATTAATGTTCAAGTATTATACATACATATACTATACTTAGCGAATATTTAACGGCGTGACGAAGAAAATCGAGATCGCCTAGGTTAATGCTTTAATGTAATTTTCACTGTGCGAAATTTTCTCGTTCGACGGCTGAGCTTTGAACGTGAAATCAGATTCCGAAAGAAAATTTGTAATCGTGATTTTATCGTTTCGTCGATGAACTGTAATGAATTTTAGCTAATTATGAGAATCATTTCCAGGGCCGAAACGATCGAACGACAAGAGTTTCGCATGCGATTTTAATTTAGGAATAATAAATAATACCGCAATAAATCGAGCAAGCTTGTGGAGCTAGGAGTAGGACCAATTTTCATGCCGGAAACGAGTGAACAATGCTATTTGCGATTGAAAATAGTAAAACTGTTAGAAGAACGTGGGTTTCGTTAACTATAAGCGACAGTTTTTTAAGTTAAAACGAATTCTGATGGGAATATAAACCAATATTTTCTCTCTTCCATTTAACTTGACATAGTTTCGCAACAAGCTGGCGCAATGCTAAATTTACTATTTTCGTTCACAAATATCGACGTCTCTGTTAAACAAGAATAGGAGAAATAAAGTGAACACTATTTTGTCATCAAAAAGCTAACGATCAGGGTGATAACAGACATCGACTGGTACTCGAATCGCCAATTTTAGCAATAATCGTGCTAATTTTCAATGTCTGTAAAAAAAAATGTGCTTCTCGACGCAAACTGAAAAAAATTTTCGTATAGATTCCTTGCATTATACAGTACCGAGTACGGTAAGTAAGAAGTACGTTGGCTGCGCACGTGTTCGAAAGTTTCGTCGATAGAGATATATGTATACTTCCGCGACTGATTCACAATTTTTAACTCGTCCGCTTCGACGAATTCTCGATCAATTTCGTCGATCGATCGAGGATAGTCGGACATAGAGCTTTGTACGTTTCGCTAGAGGTAGTGACGTAACTTAAACCAATAAATTTTGACAAGAAACCGTCGCCGTTTGTTTTGAAACATCATTCTCCCATTTTGGTCGGAAAGAATTCCCAAGGCAACGTTTCAACGTAAACATGTAAATCGAACGAAAATTGCACGGCACGTGCGAAAAAACTCCCGCGTAAAGTGTATATTATTTAAAAAAGAAAAACGAGTGGGCGTGTAATTTCGTTGAATCGCGTCACAACAATTGACCATTTTCGAACGTTCCCACAGTTTGCCAATCCAGAAAAACCTAACTATTAATCTTCCCCGTGTCATTGAATCGCAATCATGTTATGAGGCTTCGATTTCCCTGTCAAAACGTAATTGCCGTGCTGTCATTCGGTCGGGACTCACCAAGGATGTCGCCTTAATAGAGAAGGAAACCGAGTTCGCATTGGCAGGCTCGGTCGTAGCCACGTCCTATTTAAAAGTTTATTTCAAATGCAGATTTTATTCACATTCGTGCAAATTGCAATTAACATATCCGATCCATCAATTTCTAACTGAACCAAAAAAAAACAAATAAAACGTGTTTTATTTTTATTTGAATAATTAGATGCGCAGGAAATATAAAGAGTGTCGTAAATGCAAGATATGAGCTGAGAAAATTATTCCTGTGGAAATCTCGATCGATTTTATTTTTAAATCGAATGTTACGTAAAAATCTACTTATAATTAAAGATCGTCGCGGCGCGGCGGCGTCCTGCCGTCGGAAAAGCGGGCGCCGCGGCGGTGACGCGTACACTCGGAACGGGCCACGAATGACGTATGGTGTGCATAGGGTAATCTTTTTTCCGGAGCGTTTTAGCGCGGCGGGGCCTCCGCTTTTTCCTTTTCGTAATCTATAGGCGCACTTAATACAGCTGCTCGTCCGAGCGACTACCCTCTCGTTTCTCGCGCTTCCTTCACCGGCTCTGTCTCTCACGCAAGAGTGGAAGAGCGAGAACCGTCAGCTTCCACTTAGCTGGACCGTACAATATATCACGCGCGGTTGCTTTTACCCCGTGAATTGTGGCGCCGCGTTTCGCGCGCCGCTACCACGTGCGCCGTTACTGCTTTTGTCGCTGCCGGCTTCTTTCTTTGAACGAGCAAGACGGCTAGATCGACGATATTACACTTTCTGCCGCGAGCGTAGCTTCGTTCATCGATATAATTTATTAATCAAGAAATTGAATTCTTTTTTATTACTCGAACCATTGTAAACGTAAGCAGCAGTCGTTGCCTTCTTGTTTTTCAAACAAGCTGATGAAAACCTTATCGAGGAAAAAAGCAATTATGGTCCGAAGCAGTATCGATCGAGAAAGTTGCATTCCGGGCGATCGGTTCGCGTTGTTCAAACGGATTCGAGAGGATGGGATGTGGAAAGAAAAATCGAGGGCGAAGGAGAAGTCCAACAGCTCGTCCCCGAGAGGAGAACGAGAGAGAGAGGGAGAGAGAGAAAGAGAGAGAGTGTCGGCGAGAATGGGGGCAATTTGGTTACCTGGCGGGCGGACTGTTTCAGGTCGGGTGTCGATCGATGTTCATCCACGTAAAAGGGTGGGCGGCGGTGTACGAGGGAGCGGATGGTTAAAGGATAGTGGCGGCGGTCGGGGTTGTAATAAGCGTAATGGATATAGCGGACCTGCACGCATGCCCTCGCCTTGCGACGCGGCCGGGGCGGTGTGTTCACGCAGCAAAGGGTTGCTTCCTATAATCGTGAGAACGCCCAACCCCGGCCCCTCGCCGACGGCCGGGGTTTATATTCCTTTCGCTGTCCAGCGCCGCGGCGTTATTTTCATTATGCCTCCCGTTTTATTTCGATCTGCCGATGCAAAAAGCGTGGAAAGAGGGATGAGCGATTGGGGGACGCGTTACAGGTTTTGGCATGAGCGAAGATTAAATAGAGCATAGCAAAAATGGCAGGAAGCTGGAAATCGAGCATGAGTCAAAAGACTCTCGTGCGTTTACGTCTTTATTAATTCTGTTAATGACGACTGAAATGACTTAACGACACGACTCGCATCAGTGTTCTTATTCACTCTAGTGATTGTACTAACTGAACATCTGATGATAGCTAGAGAATGCTTTTAAGACTTCCTTTGAATTTTAAAAGACTCGCGCGTCCCGTATGGGACTTGTCGCAATCGGATGCAGAACCGAGAAATGGAGGAAGCCACGATTGGGTTGGCAATCGGTTTCCGGTGAAAAGGAGCCCGGAGTTGACTAACTCGATGTAGCGGTCCGCTGGGTCACCGGAAGCTTTTATTGTTTTACAAGTTTACCACGCGAGAGGGATCCAAGGCTGACCCCGTAGGTAATTCGTTTGCCGGAGTTGTACCTGGTTAGCAGCAGCCACTTTGTCTTATGATCAACTACTCTTCAAACTACGAGAAAAATTGTGAAATATGACACCGACTCAAAATTTTATAGACATATTTTGATATATCCTGCGTGGAATTCGACTACGAATTTTGACAGATTTCTATTTACTGCTCGAATGAAATTCGTTTGGCTCTGAGTCGCAATGAGATCGTTTGAACACGTCGAACGAAGGATCGATTCATGGGCCTTTCGCTTTCGGTTTGCGCCCCGTGCAATGTTACATACAAAAGGGAAAAGGGCGTGTTTGGTGTTTCCGTTTCTATGGACGCTTGACCTATTGTCTCAGAGGTTTAATTTTTGGCCCCAGCCACGGTCTCCTTTCCCTCCCGCATTTCGGGTTCCTCCCACGTCATCGGGAGTCCTTCGACCGGGAGTTATTCACTGAAACTCGTACGCGCGACAATACGTCGTTTCTCGTTGTGGGACGAGGCCGATGGCACAATGCGACAGCAATCAGTAGTCGCGCCCCTGTCAGCGGGGTCCCTCTGTCTCCTTTCGTCCATACGAGCCTTTCGCCTCTACTCTTTTTACCCCGATGCCCACCTTTTTTTCTCATTTTCTTACTCGGTTTTTTTCTCTCCTTTTCATTCAGAGCCCATGGAACACGTTGCTCAATGGGACAGACAGGGGGGTAGATAAGGATAATTTCTCTCTTTCTCTCTCTCGATCTCTTCCCATTTCCCTCGACTCGCAGCGGGAGTCGCCGTGATTTCACGAGTCAATGCCGGGATAAGAGATTGCTGAAGGAGACTGGACCACGGATGGATGATGAGAAATATTTGAAATCGAGAAGACATTCAGCTATCTCGCGGTCGATTCGTCTGACAGAGTCAGGGTTCCTCCTTTCTCGATCATTTGCTCGCGATCGAATTTCTGTACGCGCTGAATCTCCGTAGTTACCATGAGAAACATAGATATTTGGAGCGATCCGCACTATTCTAAGCGTCTGGGGTAAGTGCCGTGCTATTCTTCACAGTCCACTTACCAAAAGGTCTCATTTTCTTCTCCACTCCGTGGCCAGTCGGAATACTTTTATTCTAATATAATGTGTCAAGTGGCACTATTACTTTGAACACCGACCGCAACACGAATCCCTTCAGTGTGTAACGAAGTATCGCTCGAGCTCGCCAGGACTCTCGGCGCCTCCACCGGCCACAGATATCTCTACTTAATGTATCCGCCCTTTGACAGACATGATGTTTCAAATATCGGCGACTCTTAAAAACTACGCCGCACATTTCTTGCGTGTTGACCTCGACACGTGCAATCGTCCTTAAAAAAGACTTGACGCTAACTCTATAACTGACGTTAATAAATCTCGTGAAAGCGGCGTGAAAGTCGACGACGTTTAACGAAAACAAAAGCCGCCCTTTTCGACAAAAATACAAGAGGGTAAACGATTCACAACGAAAATTTTACGGCACCGTTGTAATGGTGGGTACGGGGGAAGACGGGGTGGCATGTTTGCCCGGTCCGATGGATGGATGGACGCTTTGCTTACGCAGGGAACGACGCACTGGGTAAGCAACGATTGGGTTTCCTCTTCGACCTCGTCCTCCTCCGAACCAGACCTTCTACTACACGATAGGATCCTGTATCCGGTTCGCCGAGGAAAGGGTGTACTTCGCAGTTAGTAGAACGATCCGATTTCGGGGGAGAAATACGGAATCGACGGGACTGCCTCCCTTTTCTCTCCCACGCTCTGTCCCATTGAAAATCGCCTCTTCCTGCACTTCGATGCTCAGAAATGGACACTGTATCCGGAAGATAAGACTAGTAACTCCTATGACGCACAGACATTTTCTTGTTCTCGTCTGAATCGATTCGGTGATTCGACAAGAAGTTGTAAAATGATTTACGTCGAGCTTTTAATCAGCGATGGACGATTCGTGCATACGATGCTTCCATTACTATGAGGCGAGTAGCGAAGAGGAAGTTAGAAACGAAAAACAGGAGGGCGACCACCCTTCTTCTGGTCCTCCACCCTCCAGGAAGTATTTCTTCCGAGTCAGTGGACCAAGACGACTGGCGAACAGGTCGCATCTGAATTTTTTCACTTTCATTCACGCTTCCCCGTTCCATCCGATTATGCACGACCACGAATCTCTGCTCGATAAGGACCATTATTCCGACTCGATGACTCGCTTCATCATCACGATTTCAAGCAATTTCTCCAGATCTTTTAGTAATTTTATAAAGTGCGTACTTCGTTGCTGAGAAAATGCAAGCTCACCACATTTTAAGAGATCGTAATTATATATTTCATTAAATTCAGATATAATTTTTGTTGAAATTCAATGCGAACTCAATGCGAACGCGTTATAACTCATTAGAAAAAATCTTAGGGGAATCAGGTGCGCGGAGGATCCAGCAACAATGGAACGTCTCGAGCGCGAAGTCTTCGAGTTTCAAATGGGAGGACACCCTTCCCATTTTCGCAGGAAGTATTTCTTCCGAGTCGGTGATCCGGAGCGGAAATGAAAATTTCACATCTGAATTTTTTTTTACCAGACGTCCCGTTCGAAGGGGGTACGTAGAAGGACAATGGGAAAGCCAGCCCGTGTCACCCTTGCGTTAATTCCTGACGGAGTGTTCACTTCCCCAGCCCTCGGTCCCTCCTTCGCCATCTCGTCCATCTCCATTATAGCGACTTCTT